GTATTAAAAATTAAGAGAAAGGTGAAAATTTTAAATATTAGTAGTTATTTTGGTAAACTTAATTTGTTTTAGGATATTTGATATTTTAGAAAAACAAATATGGTTTACTACTGCCTTTTCCTTCAAAACTACCCTTATTTTTAAAAAAATTATTGGAGAGTTAATTACGTGAGATTCTATACTAGCCTGGTTATGAGTTCGAGAGAATCCAGTAACTTTTGTTCAATCAGTATATTTGTATTAAAAGATTTCATCAAATATGTAAAAATATTAAATTTAGAATCCAGTTAATAACACTTGAATTCGTCAATCTAAGAGCCCGTTTGGACATGGAATTTTTTTTTTCCTCTTTTCCAAAAAAATTTCACTTTTTTTCGAAATCGGTGTTTGTTCATCAAATTTCCAATTTTCACTTGAAGATGCATTTTGAAAATTTTTCGAAAATTTTCAAAAAGCTGTTTTTCAAAATTTTCACTCAAATCACTCACAAAACTTCAAAAACAACCCAAACTGAAATTTATGTCCAAACACAACTCCAAATTTCAAATATTATTTTCAGTTGAAATTTTTTTTCACCATTTTTTAGAATTTTACAATTCTTATATCCAAACGCCTACTAAAATTGAGAACTCATAACGTTGAAATTTGGCTTCACACTTAACAATTACTCCTTAATTATCCAATCTAGTTGCATACCATCTTTCAACTATATTGAAGTTAATAAAATTGTTGAATATACTTCTTTTTTTTTTTTTTGCACATTTTATTACTCTGATTTTCTTTTAATTTAAAGTCCAGTGAGTGTAATTGGAAACATGTACTTTTACACGAAAATAGTTGAACAGATAATCCAGCTGGAAGTCATAAGTCCCAGTGCTAAACTGCTAATGTCTTTTATTTATTTCCATAAGTGCTGCTTTCGTTTTCCACACGAGGGGCTTATACGTACTATATCTTTTTATTTTCCAAGGAAAGGAATTTAATTCTAAAAATCCAATATATAACTGGAAAAAGGAAATAGAAAAAAGCTAATAAGCACATAGCCAATTAAATTATTTTTAAGAACTGTACACTCTTATTTTCAATTAAGAATTTAAAGAAAGTTACAGAACACGGTAAATAAAAGAAATAAAAAACATGTTACACAAATATTCAAAGGTGCAAAAAGACATTAAAATCGTAAAGATTACAATATATGTGAAGTATCTGTTAAAGATGGCTTCAACGAACTAATGGAACATAAATTATTATAAAGAATATATAAATGTGCATATTCCCTTTTTTCGTGATCAAAATAATCTGTTTTTCTCAATTATTTATTTCTAAAGTTTCCCTTCTCCTTTTCCAATAATTTCCTATGTTTACTTCTTTTTCGGATTTGGCTAGGAAGTATTTACCAAGTAATAGAAATGAAAAAAATTCCAAGGTTACTATCAAAAGTTCAGAAATCTCGGGTTCGAGTTTTAAAAATGAAAAAAGTTCGATAGAAAGAGCTTTTATTTTTGATAGATCATATGTGGTGCAAATAGAAGGGGAGCCTTGGAGCAACGGTGAAGTTGTTTCCGTGTGACCTATAGGTCACCGGTTCGAGCCGTAGAATCAACCACTAATGTTTGCATCAGAGTAGACTACACACTCCTTCCCGGAACCCTGCTTGAACACGAAATATTTTATACGCCTAACTGCCCTTATATGGTGTGAATTCGAATTAGTCCGGACTTCAATATAAATCTAAAATACTATACAATGAAAAAAAAAAAGCATTTAAGGTTTTTGTTTTATTCTTTTTAGAAATTTCCTACTTAAAAACAAAATTGAAGAACACAGGGCCCCACACAGCATCTAGATAAGATGAGCCAATAAGAATACACATGAAAGGGCCCACACAAGGAAATGAGGTAAATGGACCCACACGCCAACGCGTGGTGGTACATAGCCCAAGAAACAGTAGTACAAACTCTGGGAAGTTGGTCAAAATGGAAGCCGTTATTCTTCTTTCTCCAAAAACAAAACACCCACTTTGTTCTCCAAAAGGTTTCCATGTTGTCCCTACCATTATCTTCCTCTTTTACTTATTTATAGATTTTTTATTCTTTATTTTTTTTAATTATGATATCCGGATCAGTTTGTATGCGGATTAATTTTATAGTATCGTTGTTAATTTTTTACTTACCTAGGTACATTCTATTTTCTACCGACAAAGGTATCGACTAATTTCACGGGTTATCTTCCACTTAACAAAGTACCTACTATCTCCTAACGGCATAGGTATCAAGTAATTATGTCCATTAAAGCTTAGACATATGAAATTTGAACATAAGATCGCATAGTTATCAATTCATTTTATAGATCATTAAATTACTCCCTTGGATGCAATCTTCCCTTAAACCTCAACTTTATTATGAAATAAAATTTACTTGCATATGAATTTGTTGTTAGATAGTGAAGTTTATATTAAAGATATTTATTCATTTGATACAAACATAGAATATATGTAAGTTCTTTCTTCCGTTTGATTCAACCCTTAATAAAAGAAGTTACTAGAATAGTTTTTTTTTTCTTAAGGATTAAATATTTATTTATTTATTTTTTAACAATTTTCACTTACTTGAGAAGATTTAAATTGCGGTTGGCATAATAAAAGTTATTTCTCAAAAAAACTTAGTCTATAAGGAGGTCATGTTACTGATATTTGATTACTGAAAAATATTTTCCTCCATCAGAAGGAGAAAAATAACTTTCGTCACTTATGGACGGAAGTCATTTTCCTAGCAATACCTCAATTTGTTGTATTTAGGAGACAATTCAAAAACAGAATTGCACAAATAATAGTAATAATAATAATAATAATAATATTCTTGAGACTAACGAAAATACAACTTTGTAAAGAAAAAAAATTAATTTTAAAAATATAAACCAGACACAAATGCAAGCACCACCTTTTAAGTGATTTGGTTCACAATGAAAAGAGAAATACGAGGTCGCTTTCTTAGTGCGGCAAAAATGAAAAGAAGAAAAATAATTCGATTAATTAGATATAACATGATTCCTAGTCCATGCAATTTTATCTTTATTAGAGTCAAAAAGGGTAACCATAAGCATATACTATCAAAGGCAAAAATAAGTCTTGGATCCGAATGTCTCTGGCATTCCATCATTATTCACCTTTATCTTTTATTCTGACCAAACAGTTTATTACATTTAATATTCCACAACTCTCATTCTTATTTTAATTTTTAGCATTACAGCACGATTCGATTAAATTTGAATTTGCTTCGAAAAGTCGCACGTTAGGATTTAAATTCTCCCTAGCTAGTAAAGACGACTAAATACGTAGAGGCGGCTTATGCTATACCGAGAGGGGTCACTGGCACCCGTAAGGTTCGGCAAAAATTTCATTTACATATATATAATTTCATTTACATATATATATATATATATATATATATATATATATATATATATATATATATATATATATATATATATATATATATATATATTAGTTATATATATAGAAAATAGTTATATATTAGTAGTGGGCATCCTATATACAAAATAAATTTTGGTTGAATCCAAAAGTGCACCCCGACCTTCAAATCCTGGGTCCACCTCTACCGTACGAATCCGAAACTTCTGATTAAGGAGGAAGAAGTACTTTTCACTTCGCTGTAATTTCATAATTTTCAATATTCATCTTCATAGACACACATACTACTCCATTAAATTATAAAGGCATTGCCTGCATTTTTATTTTACTTATTTTGTCAAGTCAACTGTTCCACATGCACAAGTCCTGGTCCTAATTTATCAACCCCTCGAAATTTTATAAAAGTGTGAACCTATGAAAAATGAATTGTGGATAAATGAATGAGAAATTCAACTTTTGCAGACTAGCCTTCTTGGATTTATTCCATAGTATTCTTCTTGTTAGGTATACGAGTCCAAAACAAATCTTTAGTCCAAGATTTGCAAGCTAAATCCTCCATTAATTTAATTTGTCGGGCAAATATTTTGCTTGGTTTTCATTTTTCTACAAATATTTTACACATACGAATTCTATGTAGATTACAAATTTCTGCATGCCTAAATATTCTATATTGTAATTAACATTCTTTTTATGACTCAAATAACTGTGTAATCTTAAATTGTCATACTGATCTTGTGAATGAAGTATATTTCTAGATGATCTTGACCATGATCTTGCCATATGTTAAGTTGAAATGTATATTTTAATTGTGTAATAACGGTGCAAATTAGCTTGTGTAGCAGTACATTAGTCATTAACCCTGTCAAAAATTTTAGTTATGCAAATATAAAAAATTGGGTTGTATTTCAATTTTCAAACATTTTGAAATTTACTAAAATCATTAAAAACAGAAAATTTTGATTTTTACTAGTATATTTAGAGATAAATTCAACTGAAATGGTTAATCATTTGATAAAAAAATATGTACTTAAAACACAAAATTACTAAAAAAAAAAAAATTAGAATCATGACTACGCAAAAAACAAAAAATGAACTTTTAAATGCCCATATGATGGACAAAGAATTTTTTTGTCAAAAATGTGATACTACTTTTAATTAATGTGTTCACTCGTGTGTGTGTGTGTGTGTGTTTTTTTTTGTATATGAATGAGATTTTCTTTTTGTTTCTAATTTGGGGTTCAATATTCACATTGAAACCCGATTAAATACAGTTTTATGTGGGAAAGTCTCATATTGGAGGGTAAAATATTTTCTAAAAAATCGATTTCATATTCAGCATTCGGACTCGAGATGCTGATTAAGAATTAAAAAGTTCTTACCACTCTGCATGTTGGTTAGTAAGGAGATTGATTGCAGCCCCCATTTGGTCCCCAACTTGAATCCTTTAGTTCACATTCTCGCCTTGCTTTTTTAATACAGTAAAAAGAAATGGCCCTCTTTCTCATGTACTAAGAATCTTGTAGTAGCAACAAGTATAAGTAGTACTCACCTATAAAGATTATTTGTGATTTATATCCACTAACCATATTTCCCCTTTTCCTTACTTTTTTAGCCTTCTTTTGTTTTTTTCCCTACCATTTTGCCTCTTGAGATAAAGCTAAAGTAGCAATAGTACTATATAGTAGCATCATTAAAAAAGCAAACTCCTAGCTACTTAGTTATAAGTATAAGTCTCCTAAACCCTCATTTCCTTTTTATTGTACTCTCTTTTGTTTTAGCTCTTCCAAACCAAACATACAAAGAAAAAAAAATATGGAAGATCAATGTAGCCCTCTTAGCTGGCCTTATAACTACTTCCTTGAAGAGGTAATTTTAACTAACATTCTTATTTCTTTGTTTTTTTTAGTTAATTAACATTCTTGTTTATGTTCTAGTCCTTTTATTACACCCTTCTTAAACTATGTTGCGCAGACTTTCCAAAATACTGCAGCATCCATGTTGGATTCTTCAAAAATACACTACTTTTGGAGGATCCGGCATACACCCGGCAGCATTTTCGAAGAGTTCGAGCAACGTAGCTCCCTAAAACCCCCTTTTTTTTTGAGTAATATAATGTGGATTTTGGAATTGATAGGGAATTGAGGAATTGAAGCATTCTTTGGTGTACACAACATTGGAATTGGAAAATACTGTCATTTCTGCACATGAGGAACTTGCTAGGAAAGATGAGGAGATTTTGCACCTCAAGAATCTTTTGACTAGAATTGTGAAAGAAAGAGATGAAATTCAAGGCAAATGTCAAAGGCTTGGAATGGAGAAAATCTTACTCCAACAACAATTACTCCAACAACAACAACAAGTACAATTCCAATTCCAATTTCAAAAGCAACAAAATCTTGTTATAGAAAGTGCACCTATTTCTAGTGGCACAACAAGTCATGATCAAGAACATGACCAAATTTTAAAAGGAGTAGTTGACTCTAACAACAACAACATTGGACTTTCTAATTCCTCAGATTGTGATGAAAACAATGCTGTTGTTTCTCCTCCATTAGTTCAAGATTTAATGGATAAAATTGTTCTCAAGAAACCATTGCCAGAAAAAGGGAAATTCTTGCAAGCTGTAATGGAAGCAGGGCCACTACTACAAACACTTCTTTTAGCTGGTCCACTTCCTCAATGGCAACATCCACCACCACAACTCAATTCCATTGACATTCCTCCTGTCACTATTACCTCCCCTACGCCGCGGCTACTCCACCAGGACTCCGCCCTGAGTAGCACCGGCGCTGTCTGTGCCAGCGCCGGAGCATGTTTTGGTAAGAAAAGGGATGTTGGTGCTGATACTTCTCCAAAGCCAATTTCCAAGTATCAAAAAGTTGTTCACCAGTCATCATTGACCAACATGTAGTGTTTTCTTTCTTTTCCCACCTCTATAATTAGCTCACTTTAGCTAGTATTTTTTTGTTAATTAACCATCCAGTATCCGGAACTTACTGGGCCGACTAATTCTGATTTTCTACAAGAAGTTTTTCCTTTACAAGGGTCAAACCCGTGATCTTTAGTGAAGGATGGAGAGATCCTATCTAACCAGTGGTTCAGTTTATCTTTCCTTTTCATACCGTTTAAAAAGTATGAAAAAGGAGAGAAAATTATCAGCATGAAATGGATGGCTATCATGCATGCCATTTTCCATCCAATTAGGATTTGTAAAATTAGTTGGTTTGCCTTAGAAACTAAGCAATGGTTATAATTATTAGCTAACAAAATTTTAGAGGATTTTGACAAAAGGCCTAATTATGAATGGCCTTTTACTTAGTATGGTTTTTAAAGATCAGTGTCTCACTATTAAGTGTTGGATTCTTGATTATGACTGCTGCTTTGTTTTTCAAGCCCTTTGATTTGGATGAAGAGGAGTTTGATCTTTTGATTTAGTAACCTTTGATTGTAATTATTTCCCCATGTAATATGAGTTGGGGAGGCTTTTAGAATTCTCCAAACTATTGGGGAATTTTTTTAATTACGTATACTTGCTACTCTTTTTTCTCTTGGTCTAATTTTGCATAAAAATATTATGCAAAGTGTATCTTGAGAGATTATGATGTTGTAGAATTGGCTTGTCATTATTGAGAAGATGATTTAGTTTAATGAAGGCTTTGCTTTCCTTTTTTGCTTTTATGTCATAGTCATTTCCAAGTTCTTTTGATTATTTATTATTTATTATGATAAAATATGACTTGAAGAAGCAACAAGTAATTTAAAAGATTCCAAATGATCCTACTTTTCATAAGGTGTACCTACCATACATGGTTTATGTCTGCCATTCAAATGGCATCTCTAATTGAAGTTACTTTACTTTCCCTTTCATGCAAATATAATAAAAGAGAAAATGAATTACTTTTATCTCATTGGTAAATAAGAAATATATACCTTTGAAAAATATAGGAAATATCCATTTTAAAACTCCACCACTAATACTTGCATTAAAGTAGGTTGTCTACATCACACCCTTGGAGTGCGGTCAGAGACGGACTCAGAATTTAATACTTATGGGTTCTTGTAACAATCTGCAGTAAATTTTTAACAGTAATTGGGTTCACATTCAAACATTTATAGATATTTAGTAAATTTTTCGAACACATTTTCATTGTTTGGACAAAATCTACTGGGTTCACGTGAACCCGTAGATCGGGTGGTGGATCCGCCCCTGAGTGCGGTCCTTTCCCGGATCAAGGATAAATACGGAATGGTTTGTGCACCCGACACTTTTATTTTTGTTTTTTTAAATTTTAATATTCATGGGGAAGAAAGAAACAAATACTTTAGTTTTGCTAGACCAAGTACAGGTAGTTGAACTAGTCTGTGAATCTGATAACAAAACTTTGAATTTTTATTATTATGTGTTACACAAAGGTCATGCTCATAGTTTGATTTAAAATACAAAAGGAGTGAAATAAGTCAATGCAAAATCAAAAGTAAAATTAGGATGTTGCTTTCATTGAAGCTGTTTCTTTCTCATGCTTAGCACATGATAATCTTCTCTCTTATTGGAGATTGGGGGAGATTTTTCTCTCCCTTTTTCTTTTCTTTTTCTTATTTTGGTTGGGATGAGAAGAAAAAAGAACTTAATCACACACATCAGCGTGTACTTTAATTAATCTAGTTAATATGCAATATTAGTCTTCACATATACTATTACTTAATACTAAACTATAGCTAATTGATATGATACATATTCTCGTCTCATTTTATTACTTAACCATTTATAGTAACTTGATATGATTTGGTACATTATTATATAAATTACCGTGGTGCAATGAGAGAGTAAATTAATATAAGTTGAAAGCGTAATCCAAGATAATGTTTACCTTGATGCGACAAAGATAAATTTGATTTTTGAGGAAGGTCGTTGTAGTCATGTCTTCTACCTTCGACTATTGGTTCTGTCTCCTTTGGCATTCTGGTCTCTCTGGTATTGCTCGTTCATGACCACTCGTTTAGTCAATGGATTCTTGTCCCTCAACTATCCTTTTGTCTTGGGCTTTCTAATTCATGGGCTTCCATTTTTTGAGCCTTCAAATCTAGTACACTTTCGGGGAAGTACACAAACATGGACAATGACGTGGATGACACTTGTAAAAGAAAGGGAACTCTACCATTTAAGGAACTTTTAATAATCCGTAGCTACATTTTATGTACTGATGTTTCGTAGCTAGTCTTAAACAATTCGTTGTATTTGAGTGTATTTATATACACTGTTACGCTCTATTTTTTTCTTTTTGCATGTATTTGAGTATATTTGAATAAACTGTTCAGTTGTATCCAATCTTATTTGATATGGCAAGATTGAACAGATTCGATTGTATTTGAACGCATTTACACTAAAAAAATGATGAAATGAAGAATACCGTCAATACAATCAAACCTAGTTGGATGTTTGGAGAAATACAAAATACCATTGTATTTACATTAAAAAAATGAAGAATTTTAAAAATTAACTGTATTTAACTAAAAAATAAAGAATATAGTCAAATCCGACGAGAATACAAAATACATTGTATTTAAAAGAATATAAATCAAACACCGCCGGATCTCTGGCGAAAATTCAAAATACACTTTAGATCTCTGACGAAAATATAAAATACACTGATTTATACAAAGATTTTCCAAAGTGAAAGACAATGGAGAAGAAAGAGACGACTTCTTCTTCCGACGTGAAAAGTAGTGGTGGAGGAATAAGTCTCAAATCAGACAAATACACTCAGATGTGAGATATAAAGAAGGATAAGAAGCCATAGATTCTGGCATCTCCATTAGATCCAGATCCGGTGACGCCTCTGATCTTCCTCCTCCAATATTTTCGCCGCCGATAATGGATTGATCGCAACTTCATGATCCCAAATCTACATCTAACTGTAACGATCCGACCTGTCGTTTTGAGCATTTGCACTTTGCTCGGTGGTTTGAGGGCATGAGTAGCTCCGTATGATGTATTACGACTTGTATGTAACATTGGTTTCGGTTTTCGGGTGATTCGGAATTAGTTTGGAATAATGAGTTTCATTGTTGAAGCGTTAAGTTAGAAGAGTTGGCCAAGTTTGACTTTTATGTGTTTGATCCTAGATTGGAGTTTTTATGGTTCTGTTGGGTCGGGATGGTGATTTTAAACTTAGGCGTATGCCCGGATTCGTATTTGGATATTTCTAGAAGGTTTCGGCACATTTTGACGAAAATTAGAAAGTTGAAGGTTTGGAAGGTTGAGATGTTTGACCGGGAGTAGACTTTGTGGATATCGGGTTCGGAATTTGATTCCGGGAGTTGGTATAGCTCCGTTGTGTCATTTGAAACTTGCATGCAAAATTTGACGTCATTCCGGGTTGATTTGATATATTTCGGCACGAGTTTTAGAAATTGGAGGTTCATAAGTTCATTAAGTTCGATTTGCGGCACGATTCGTAGTTTTGATATTGTTTGATGCGATTCGAGGCGAGCGGGTCCGCATTATACTGTAGGACTTGTTGGTATTCGAATGGGGTCTCGAGTGGCTCGGACGAGTTTCGGATCATTTTTTGTCATGAGGATAGGTCTGGTTCCTTATGCATCGCACCTGTTTTTTTTTGGAGCGCAGGTGCGTGGACGCTTCTACGAGATTCTTGGTCGCTTCTACCATGTTGGTGCAGGTCCTGTTGCGTCGCTTCTGTAGAAAAGGGAGCGCAGGTGCGAGATCGCATCTGCGGAAGGTTGATCGAAGATGCGCGATAGGTGTTCCAGGCGGTTGTCCGCTTCTATGGTCTTTGTCACGCTTCTGCGCAATCGCAGATGCGATTATTGGATCGCAGGTGCGAGTTCTGGGCTCTCTAGTGAAGGCTGTAGGTTCGGTGCTTTTCTCGCAAAATCGAGGTCGCAGGCGCGGCATGTTTGTACTCAAATGCGAAGAGGGCTGGGTAGAAGCATATAATTCGAGGGTTAGGCATTTTTTTAAATAATATTTTGAGTTGTAGACTTCGGATTTGGGCGATTTTGAGGGATTCTTCACGTAGTTATTTGGGGTAAGTGTTCTCTATTCGGAATTGATTATATTTCATGATTCCATAATTATTTTTATCATTAAAGTAGTGAATTGAATGAGAGAAAATGAGAATTTTTGTAAAATCTTTCAAAAGTGTAAAATGATGATTTGAAGGACGATTTGATATCAAAATTTGATAATTTTTGTATGGTTGGACTCGTATCGGGATGTGTGTTCGGATTATGTGACCTTTGTTGGGTTCCGAGCTGTAGGTCCAGGGTTGACCTTTTAGCTTTCTTTAAAAATCGAAGTTTTATTATTCGAAATTTTTTCTATGACTTTTATTTATGATATGAAGTTATTTTGGTTAGATTTGAGCCGTCCGGAGGTTGTTTCACACCAGATGATCATTTTAGAGTATCGGTTTAACTTCTTCGAGGTAAGTGTCTTGCCTAACTCTGTGGGGGATGGGGGGAACTACCCCTTAGGATTCGACTTGATTGTGCTATTTGTGTTACATGAAAGGCGTGTCCTCAAGGTGACGGCCGGGGTACACGGGTTATATGTGGTATTTGACCGTTTTAGGTTACTAGACTCTTTCCGTGACTTTAATCGAATTGTCCTGACGTGTTATGTCTGTGTTATGTCTCTCATTGTTAATCTGCTCTTACATGCTTTATTTGACGTTGTTAGCAATTATTGTACCTCTTACTTGTCATTTTGCCCTTACATGATTTAATTGCAGTAATTGCCTTTCTTATTGTCTTGTTACCTTTTAAATTGTTGAGCCCCTTTCATGACTCTATGCCTATTTGCTACTCTTCTTAACTACTTTACTTGCACACCTCTGTTGTCATGTGCTTTACTTGTCTTGTCATTTTTGTAATATTTGTTGCATTCCTTTGATTATTAAGTGGTTCCTCTGGTGTTGTGTACTGATACCCTTTGATTGTAGAAATTCCTGTAAATTGAGTTATTGGATTATTGTTGTTAATTTAATTTGCTTGTAGATCGGGTTGTGTGCCGCAATAGGTGAAATAAGAGAGGATTTGTTATTGATACGGTGGGATCGGGTTGCATGTTGCAACGGGTGGAATAAGGGAGGATTATGTGATATGGTAAAATAAGGGAGGATTTGATATTGATACGGTGAGATCGGGTGGCGCGCCGCAACGGATTGTGTGTTGTATTCATTGTTGTATTGTGTTAGCTTTCGGTATTTATCATATGAGATTGTGAGGACCGGTAATTCTGGATTTACTAATTTCGAGGATTGAGTTATTTTCATTAGTTTACTGCTTTGCCGTCATTTCCTGCTTTCCTTTCCTGTTACTATTATTTTGTTGAATTGATTTTCAAGATGAATTTAGTACGCTGAGTCATTATCTCATACCCTGTTAAGTTGTTAGTAACATAACGGTTTTAAGTAAAAGAATTTGTAACATGCTTATCTTACATAACTCTTAAGCTAAAACTCGTCGTTTCATTCGGTACTTTACTATTCTTAATACTTGCTGTATTTTACTTTAATTGATTTTTCAACCTAAACTCCTTAACTTATCCGATATTTTTATTTGGCTTAAAAATCATTAATATATTTTAATTTAACAAATTCTATATTTAACTCGGTAGCGCATCCGATGCTTTATTTAATTTAAAAATATTATTTTCTTCGCCCAAATAATTTCTAAAATAAACTCATTTTCTCATCTGATTGCCTACTTTATTCAAAGTTGTTATTATTCTTTATCATATATAAATAAACCTCTTGAATATTTTAATTAGCATTTGACACGGATATTATATACATGGCAGCATGCGGATTTTGACGTGCGAAAGTGATTTTGAAAGTGTGGCACAAGATGCCATGTGTGTAAGGTTTGGAAGTTGTGACTTATGATCTGATATTTACGAGAAGTGGTACCCGGGGTATTCTTGTTGAAATTCGTGCATTAGAAATAATATGATTGATTTAGTTGTCATCGGTTTTCCCTTACTTGAACCCCTTCATATTTCATCTGTACCCTGATTATATTGTTGCTTAATTACTTGGTTGTTTCTCGTTGCCATTCGTACTCCTATTATTTTCACTGTTAAATTGAAATTTAAAATCATTCTGCTATTGGCCTTATATTGATGTTCTTTCTTTGTTAGCTTTATATATTATCCTGCACAGGTTTACATGTCTAGTAGGTATCTTGACCTGGCCTCGTCATTATTCTACTGAGGTTAGGCTTGATACTTACTGGGTACCACCGTGGTGTACTCATGCTACGCTTCTGCACATTTTAGTGCAGAACCATGTACTTCAGATCGAGTTGGTTTTGAGTCTTATGCCTGTGCGACTGGAGTGCGACTAGAGACTTCAAGGTACCCCTGCTGGGCGTTCACATGCGCCAAAGTCACCTTCTGTTGTATTTTATTTTTATTATTTCCTATTATTCCGGGATAGTGACGTATTGTTATTTCTAGGGACTCTTATAAAAGCTTATGACTTGTGCTACCGGTTTTGGGATATTGTATCATGTCTAGATTGCTGGCTTTGTATAGAAAATTCCTATTTCATAATTAATAGTTATTGGTTGAGTTTGCCATTAATTCAGTAAGTGCTAAGCTTACCTAGTCCTTAAGACTAGGTGCTATCACGATATCCTACGAAGGGAAATTGGGGTCGTGACACTAACAGTAGGTGAAGACGGTGTTTAACGGAGATCCGCGGAGGGTGGTGAAGTGTGGACTCTCATAAGCTTTTATAAGAGTCCCTAGAAATAACAATGTCGTGACACTAACAGTAGGTGATGACGGTGTTTAAGGGTGATTCGCGGAGGGTGGTGAAGTGTGGAGAAAATAGAAAAAGGTGTCTGTTTAGTTGGGCTCCATAGAACTACGCCGGAGAAGACGGTCAGCGGCGACTTCTCTGCTGCCAAGGGAGAAGAGAGAGGGAAAAGAAGAGAGAGTTGAGGGAGAAGAGAGAAAGATTATACAGTTGAATAACTCTGTGTATTTGGTATTAGCTATGATGGGTAAATTAAGAATTTATTGTAGCTATAAAAAATAATTAAATTAAAAGGTAGCTATGATCCATTAATAGTTCTTAGATTTAGTTATGGCAGGTAAATTTTCCTAAAAGAAAATTGGGCTTTTAATACAATTGGCCGATCGGCAAAAATAAATGTATACTTTTAGTTGCTCCAAAAAATAATAGCCGATAATATATACTCCCTCCGTTTTTAATTTTTGTGAACCTATTTGATTGGACATGAAGTTTAAGAAAAAAGAGAAGACTTCTGAACTAGTGGTGTAAAACAAGGCAGGCACATATATTATGTATGGTTATAAATCATTGCATAAAGGTAAATTATTTTCAAATATGGAAAGAGGTCATTCTTTTTAGCACGGACTAAAAAGAAAATAGGTTCATATAAATTAAAACGGAATAAGTATATATTTTGTATAAATGTGTATTATATACAAAATTATACTTATTTTATATACTTTTTGGCTATCGAATATAATTAGTTTTGGCCGATCGGCCAATTTTGTATTTTGTCTAGAATTTATAGTTGGCTATTGATTGGACTTTGTATTTGATGGGCATTTTAGTCCAGAATTCTTTCATTAAACTTAAAAGGGTTAGTTCTAAACAAATGTCAAAAGCGAAGACAAAATTTAAATAACAATCCTAAAGTATCCCTTCTCGAATCAAATGGAAGTCCATTGAATTATAACTAACTAGAAGGGATATCTAAATAATTATTTAACATCTTGAACAAGGCCAATGGTAACTTGCGTTTGTAACTTTTATCATTTAACAATAATTAATTAATGTGTGTGCATCGTATTATGCATATAGTCTCATCTTATTTTCAGTCGAATCCCCTTCGTCAAAAGTTATATTGTGTATAAAAAGTTAATTTCTTTTGATGTATATATATTAGATGTTTAATTTTTTAAACTTTTTCACGTATTTTTTCTTTTTTGAATCCCCTTGATAAAAAATCATGCTTTCGCTACTGTTTGCGATCGACTAATCTTTTAATCTTACCGTCCTTTTATTTGTGTCTGTGTATTACATTTGGATGGAAAGTATGAAAAAGAAAAACCAAATTACAATGATAATCTTTTTATAAGTAATACAGAATCCTTTTAAACCATGGAGTATATTACTCCTATCTAACTTCTTGGTACTCTAATTATAAGATCCACTTTTCATTCCTAAATTTTCTCAAAACAACAAATATTCCCTTCCCATAATATTACCTCTATTCAACCTTTCCTCTGTTTCATTGACACCCTCAATTCTCAAACTCAAACATCTTCCCTTTTCCCTGTTTCCTCCCAATACATTACCAATGTCCGGCGAAACCGCCGCCGCCGCCGCTACCATGTCCGCCGCCGCAGATCAAGAATCAGAACCATCCACCACCCCAAACAAACCACACATAACATGGTCCGATTCCTACACAAAAGCCCACGTCGCAATCCAATCCTTAGCATCAATCATCCCTTTCATTCCCCCTTCCCTATCCTCCTCCGAAACCCCCGCATTTTGCCTCCTCCACAACTCCGAAACCGCCGCCCAAATCTCAAAACTCCTCCGCCAACCCGACTCCGGTTCCGGCGACAACAACCTCTGCCGCTGGCTTTACGATACATTCCAATCCTCCGAACCCGAACTCCACCTCATCGTCCTCCGATTTTTACCCATAATCGCCGGCGTTTATCTCTCTCGTGTCAATCTCCATAAACCATTAGCCGGATTTGAAGCTGTTTTATTAGCATTATACTCACACGAAACTTCCTCACGTAATGGCCAAGCAATTACAGTAAATATTCCCGATCTATCACATTCAAGCATTTATCATGAAACAAATAAAGTCGCGAAAAATTCAGCCACAGAGCTGAATTTAGCTGTGATTTCTCCGAGTTTAGAACCGTACGGTACGGTAAGATCAATGAAAAGAGCTAGAATTGTTGGTGTTGCGTTAGAATTGTATTACAGCAAAATCCCACAAATTCCGGTTGAGTCCAAACTTGATTTCTGTGAATTTTGTAAAATATGGTCAGGCCAATATGGCGAAAACGACGAAAATGGGGACGTAAAAAAGAGGATTAATTTGCCATGGGAATTGTTTCAACCTGTTTTGAGGATTTTGGGACATTGTTTAATGGGACATAAGCAGAATGAGAAGTTGAAGGAAGCTGCAATTGGTGCATGTAATTGTCTATATGAAAGAGCTTTGCATGATTTGAATACAAAGGCAATGTTAGCTACTGGTAGTTTAATTAAGCTTGCGAAATTGGATTTGGAATCTGAAGATGTTGATTATACTGAGATCGTAGAGTCCAATACCATTACGCTTTGAGGTGTATTGTATTGTTCTCTGCATAGACCAATTCAAGATTTTAATTTTATGGGTTCAAGATTTCGATTTCAACCACCATTTTTTTGAGTTGTGAGTTCATAGCTCAATTTTTTCAGCAATTTTAGTGAATTTTATACTGAAAATCTATGTCTAGGATAACAGCTATAAATTTGATTGAACTATATGTCAACTGAAATCATAGTTGAACTGTTGGATCCGCCCGTGTGCATGCCAATGTGTGTGCATGTTTGTTTTGTTTTTGTCCTACTATGAGCTTTTTCCTTTGTCTTTGGAAAAAAGGTTCAAAATTCCCTATTTATTATTCGAAATTACTCAAAATGTTGTCTTTCATTAAACTTCTTGTTATTCATACATTTGCTGTTAGCAAACAAGTCTCATACTTATAAAAAAGGAAGCTCCGACACAAAAATGAGTGTGTACTCTATGAGTTCAAAATTTTGAGATAAAAAGTTCAAATTTACTTCTCACGTTAGTATCATTAGTATCCGTACCCGCACGATGTGCGGGGAATTATAAAATTAAAAAATAATAAGAAATATTACTTGAAATGGTAATGAAAAGTGATCAAAAATAATATGGTATTGGTTAATGAAAGTAACAACCTCTACTTCTTAAACCGTATTTGGAACAAAAAAAAAATAGTCACAATCTTTAAGACTCTACAATATATGTAACAAAATCACTGTCTCTGTTCAATTAGCTTGAACTTATTACATAAAATAAAATAAAATAATGAGCTTTACGAACAAAGCATTCTCGTCGAACTCCATCTTTCTCTGGAATATAAATCTAAGCAAATGCAAACTGAACTCACTTTTCACAACAATCCACGAAATTGTTTGCTTTCTCTGGCTAGAAACTTTATCTGACAAATGAATTCATGTAATGATCTAAGATCGAACATCAAAGATCAAACTTTGGATAAACTTGTATGATTTCTGTCTTCCACAACCAAAGTTGTTGTTTCTCGATGTATGACTTTACACTTCCTGAATTGTTAACTCGATGCGAAAAACTCAACAAAAATATTACAACAATGATGAAGACAAAATTTGGCAAAGAAATACGGGCAATGTTACATTCACATATGTAAGATTATGCCTAAACTAACTGAAAGGGTAATGTTTCTTTGCATTTAGAGTCGCGCAAATTACAAATTTTAATCCATGTAGTTTAATCATTCCTAATACTTTATGAGTTTTAATGAGAATACTCCATTTTAAAAACAACCCATCTGCTAAGAATAAAGGCTAAACTGATATGAAAGAATTCTAGAAAAAAAAATCTTCCTTTCACTATTTAAATCGAGGAAAATAACAAAAACTTAAGAAATTCTTTCTTGTGTTTTAAAGATTTTAAAGAAGGGAAAAGTTTTATGTATTACGTTGATAAAAACAAAGTATAATACAATAGTATTGAATTTATATAAAAGATAGATCCTAGTAAATTGAATAACTTTGTTTCTTTGCATTTAGAGTCGCGCAAATTATAAATTTTAATCCATGTAGTTTAATCATTGCTAATACTTTATGAGTTTTAATGAGAATATTCCATTTTTAAAAATAACCCCTTCTGCTAAGAATAAAGGCTAAACTAATATGAAAGAATTCTAGAAGAAAAAAAATCTTCCTTTCACTATTTAAATCGAGGAAACAAACAAAAACTTAAGAAATTCTTTCTTGTGTTTTAAAGATTTTAAAGAAGGAAAAAGTTTTATGTATTACGTTGATAAAAACAAAGTATGTAGATAGTCATATAAATATATATTTAAAGTGACATCATTCGAAATGGGATTATTTATTTGATTTAGAGTCGCCACTTGGGATAGGATTGGCTTTTGGTGTCCCAAGTCACCGATTTAATTTGAATCCCAAATCGAGGAAAATTTCGNTTAAGTGGTGAAGTTTTTTATAAAAGAACCCCGGACCTCAACTTGCTAAGATGTGTTGACGCCGAGGAAGCTGGAAGAATTATGCATGAAGTGCACGCAGGAGTATGTGGACCTCATATGAATGGTTATGTGTTGGCAAAGAAAATTTTGCGAGCCGGGTATTACTGGATAACTATGGAGAAGGACTGTTTCAGTTTTGTTCGGAAATGTCATCAATGCCAGGTGCACGGCGACTTGATTCATGCACCTCCGACAGAACTCCATCCGATATCAGCACCTTGGCCGTTTGTTGCTTGGGGCATGGATATCATTGGGCCGATCGAGCCGAAAGCTTCGAATGGGCATAGGTTCATACTGGTAGCAATCGACTATTTCACAAAATGGGTTGAAGCCATCACCCTCAAGTCAGTCACCAAGAAAGCCGTGGTCGACTTTGTGCACTCCAATCTCATTTGCCGCTTTGGCATTCCTGCAATTATTATTACCGACAATGCCGCTAACTTGAACAGTCGCCTGATGGAGGAGGTATGTGAACAATTCAAGATAACGCATAGAAACTCAACTCCCTATCGGCCAAAAGCCAATGGTGCTGTCGAGGCAGCAAATAAGAACATCAAGAAGATTTTGAGAAAGATGATTCAAAGCTCCCGGCAATGGCATGAAAAGGTTACCCTTCGCATTACTTGGATATCGCACCACAGTACGTACATCAATTGGAGCAACACCATACTTGTTAGTTTACGGTACTGAAGCAGTCATACCTGCAGAAGTGGAAATTCCTTCACTCCGGATAATCGTTGAGGCGGAGATTGAGGACAGTGAATGGGTTAAAACCCGACTAGAGCAATTGTCATTAATTGATGAAAAACGGATGGCCGCGGTTTGTCACGGACAACTGTACCAACAAAGAATGGCCCGTGCCTATAATAAAAAAGTGCGTCCCAGGAATTTTGAAGTGGGACAGCTGGTACTCAGACGCATTCTCCCTCATCATCAGGAAGCAAAAGGGAAGTTTGCCCCTAATTGGAAAGGTCCATACATCATCCGAAAAATATTGCCAAGAGGAGCACTGTATCTGGGAGACATCGAAGGGAATAATCCTGAGACAGCAGTCAACGCAGATGCAGTAAAAAGGTACTACGTCTAATCCTCATTCGGCGATGGCTTTTGTGCAATTGAGATGACGAAGGCTTTCTTTCTCACTATCCAAACACTGTCAATCTTTTGTAAATCCCTTTTGAGCCGGTTACCCTTCTTTGGCTACCCTCTTTGGAACCCGGAAGTACGAAAAAAAAGAAAAAAAAAGAAAACGAAAAAATATATGAAAAAAAAAGAAAAGAAAAAGAAAATATGATGAAAAGAAAAAGAAAAAGAAAACAAAAAATAAAAAACAACCAAAAAACAAGTGTTTTGCCTGAACTACGTTTGACTTGATCCTGAAAAGGTACGTAGGCAGCCTCTCCCTGAGGTTCAATCACACCAAAACAAAAATCCCAATTTCCCCAAAAATGAAACTGGGGCAGATGATATAATGGGTCGGCCATGAATCCGCCGAAATGGTTCTAAAGTTGTACCTCCGTCCAGAATTCTTTTTACCCAATACCTTGTCCAAGTCCTTCTGATCAATTGGCAAAGGCGTGGGAATTGAAAAGCAATATTGTTGGAAGCTGGTATAGTCCAAAATGAGAGAAATAAAATGAGAGAGTCTTATCGGTGAAAACCTTCGGGCACCATAAGGCGACGGTGAGAAGAGAAATTAAAAATGAGAGAGTCCGTTGGGTGAAAACTCGTAAAGAGCACTATCGGGCGATGGTGAGAAGAGAAATGAGAGAGGTCGATTAGCGAAAACCCGCGAAGGGCGCTGTCGGCCGAAAAGAAGACATCTCGCCACTAAAGGAGTCCTGGCAAGGTTCCCTGGTTTTGAAATACTGATTAATGGGTTCACGAGAAGCCGGAAAGTTTGTGTGGGTCGGGCATCCAGTCCAAGAAGCATGTCATGTTCATTTGAAGCCAGCATGCACCCCAGATAAGTCCTCCTTTTTCCCCGAAAGGAATGCTTCTCTTTAAATCATATGCTTGCCTTTTGCATACTTTTTCTTTGAATCCCTTTCGGTTTATCTCTGATTCCGTAACTAGTACAAAGAAAAGGTGGCAGGACTGGTTTCACAGGGCTTCGCCTGGTCAGAGTCGCAGAAATACCCAGCCTCAGCGAGTGCGTCAGGCCAATCTCGACTGACCATAGTGATTGATGCTTTTGAAGCAAAAAATATTGAAAAAAAAAACAAAAGAAAGAAAATCAAAGGCAAAGGCAGAATAAAGTGACAAGGTCAGAGCCCACACGGGCGATTCATAATGAAATCCTGAAGGCTGAACCCGATCGGTTTGAAAAGAGATTTACCCTCAAGACAAACAAGCAGCAAAAATTCTCAACGGAAATGGGGCCGAGATCAAGCAATTGAGATGATCAAGGCCACAAAACCAACCACCATTTCAAACTAACAAATTGTTATCTGTTGAAAACAGGTTTGATTCAAAGCAACCGTGCAAGAAGCAGGTGCAGTCCAAAAAGAAATGAAATGCGCAAGCGCTGAAACAACTCTGCAACAGGAAAATGACCAAAAAGGAAGTTTCACCCTCCCCAAGTTCTTTCATGTATTTTGCTAAATAAAAGGAGAAACATGAAAAAGGAAAAGCAAAAGATAGAAGAAAGAAGAAAAGAAGTTAAAATAAAAATCCCAAAAAGAAAAACAAATCATGATAGCATAGGATTCCATTCCTTAAATATCCCGGAACAAAAACCGAGGATCTCCCGGCACAAAAACCGTGGAGCTTTTTCTTTCCAAATCCCGGAACAAAAACCGAGGATCTCCCGGCACAAAAACCGTGGAGCTTTTTTCTTTCCAAAATCCCGGAACAAAAACCGAGGATCTCCCGGCACAAAAAACGAGGAGCCTTTTCTTTCCCAAATCCCGGAACAAAAACCGAGGATCTCCCGGCACAAAAACCGTGGAGCTTTTTCTTTCCAAAATCCCGGAACAAAAACCGAGGATCTCCCGGCACAAAAACCGTGGAGCTTTTCTTTTCCAAATCCCGGAACAAAACCGAGGATCTCCCGGCACAAAAACCGTGGAGCTTTTTCTTTCCAAAATCCCGGAACAAAAACCGAGGATCTCCCGGCACAAAAACCGTGGAGCTTTTTCTTTCCAAAATCCCGGAACAAAAACCGAGGATCTCCCGGCACAAAAATCGTGGAGCTTTTTCTTTCCAAAATCCCGGAACAAAAACCGAGGATCTCCCGGCACAAAA